TGTCCCGCAAGCCCAAGCAGCCCTCAACCCACCCGTCATCCACTCCGCCCCCCCCAATCTCCCCCCTCCCCCAGGGCCTGGACAAGGGCAACATGCCCCGCACCGGTGACGTCATGATCCTCAAGTCCGACCAGACCCTCAAGCCCTGCAAGGACTTCACCGCCCAGATCCAGACTCTCGACATCCCCGGCGAGGTCAAGGCCGGCTACAGCCCCATCGGCTTCGTGCGGTGCGGCCGCTCCGCCTGCAAGATCACCAAGATCAACTGGAAGGTCGGCAAGGAGACTGGTGGCAAGAAGCTGGACGCCCCCCACGCGCTCAAGGCCAACGAGATGGCGGAGGTTGTCTTTGAGCCCTGCCAGCCCCTGGTGAGGCGACTTTGGGCGTTTAGGAGGGGTTGGAGGAGTAGCGCATTGTGCTGCCCTGGCGCATGGCGACGGGCGCCGGCGATGTCCCTTCTGCGGCCGCTTGCTCTGACGCGTCCCCTTTCCCCGCAACGCTGGCGCCAACACCCGCATCCCGCTCGTCCCATTTGCCGTGCCCACCCATCACCAGCCCTGCGCTCGCCCTCACCTCACCCTGACCCCACCCCTGTTGCGCACAACCCCCCCAAAGGTGGTGGACCACTTCAAGGCGTGCGAGGGCCTGTCCCGCATCGCTTTCCTGGACGGCAACACCGCCGTCATGCTCGGCAAGGTGCGGCGCGGCCGCTCTTGCCCCCCCCCCCTTCCTTTGACACCCGCCCGCAGCCCCCATCGCGTGTCCTGGCGGCTCGCCCTTGGTGGCGACCTTCTCGCGTGTACACTGTCCGCCTGTGTTTTGGGTGTGCGTTGGGCCCAAGGGGCAGGATGCGCCTGCTGGCAACCCCCGCTGACCGGGCGTGCGGCGCCGCACCACGCATGTTCCAAATGGAACTTGGGCAGCCGGTCACCGGTCGCGAAAGCTTACGCCTGCGCTCCTGTGCCTTCTGCAACATGTGTCCTGCCCTACCACCTCCCCACTGCAGGTGACCGCCGTGAGCCACAAGTGATCTCTGATCCGTTGGCCTGCGGCGGCGCAGCGGCCGCCGGCGCGGCGACGGGGCTGCCGGCGCGAGCCCGGATGCTGGCTCCTGGGGCGGGGGACGGGGAGCTGCCTACACCTACATACCCGCGGGCGCACGCGAGCGCACTACACGACCACCCAGACGGATTGCACCCCAGAGGCGGGACTCACTTGGACCCACGACACACGGCGGCGACGGCGCCGCTCGCGGCGCGCCGCCTGCGCTCCTCGCCCCCCCGCCGCGCCTTGGCGCTCTGCCCCGCGTCGCTGTCAGCGGCCGCGGCTGCCCGCCTGACTGCGTTTGTTCTTGTGCTTGGAACGGATGGGCTGACTGAGCTTGTGTAAATCAACTATACAGCAGTGCGCTGTGCCACGCGGCTGGGGGAGTGCATGCGTTTTAGAGGGGTGTGGGAAAGGTGGTGGTGCGAGAAGAGGGCAGCGGAGCAAGGCGCGGGCCTCTGGGTTTCAAGCAGCTGCCCCTGCCGGACTGCAGCAGGGCACACTTGTCGCATTTTGGCGGCGCATGGGCCCGCGCATGCTGGCATCACCTGTCCGGCTTGTGTACATATGCGCCAGGTGGGGCAGTGCAGCTGGCGCCTGTACCCGGCAAGCCTTGCGTGGTTGGAAGCGCAGCGACTGGCCGGCGTACCCAACAGCACCAAGGAGGCGGACAGGCTACAGCTGGCGCTTGCCCGCCACAGCCACGCCCCCGCGGCGCTGCCCCAGCGATGTGAGCTGCTGCTCCCCCACCCCCCACTACCCCCCCTTCCGCCTGCCCGCACAGACGGCCACATCACCCGTGACATCATGTTCTCGTCACCCGTCACCTGCGCACGACGCGCCCGGCTGTCTCTCTGCCTTGGTTATTGGGTTACAGACGAATGTTCAGGGGTTGGATAGGGGCGCGCCTCCGAAAGAAAAGGACAAATAGTGGCTGTGAACCAACTTGATAGCAGTGTGCATAGCCCCGATGGATGCTGCCGGTGGGCGAACGAAATTTGCCCTGACGCAGTGCCCATGTCGAGGGCGCACGGCCAGGGGCCGCGTGCGCGAGGAGACAGAGGGTACAGAGGACAGATGGGCAAGTGTAGCTGACAGCCTGGGGTGTGGGTGCAGGCGCGCCTGCACGTGGCAAGTCGGTACGGATGGGCGAGAGCGCGTCGGATGAGCAGAATGATATCACTTTGACATCCAAAATCTCGTGAGGGCAGAGCGCAAGGGAGCACCATCGGCGCAAGCGCCTCCAGTTGGGAAAGTGTCGCATTCAGTGCTGTGTGCAACCTGTGTATCTTGCAAATTATGGACGTGCTCAAGCTGTGGGGCTTGAAGCCTACCGGGGGTTGAGCCCCAGCTGCCGCGAGAACGCGACCCCGACGCAGCTGGGGCGCGCCGCCACAGCACCCTAGGACTGGTCAGGGGTGTGGGCCTCCTCCAGTGAGGCTGGGCACCTTGGCCGCGCACTGCCGCATCGGTCGCCATGAAAGCCGCGTTGGTGTGCCCCGCACAGCGCGGGAGCATTTGCTTCGGGACGTGCGTAGGTGGCGGCTTAGTCAACTGCGGTCAACCGCAGGAGCAGGTGGGTGCTGCCCACCCCTCCCGCGCATGCCATGCCAAATGGGCTTGCAAGCTGGGCTCAAATGTGGGGGAAGCGATGACGCGTGGCCAAAGGTGACCAGCGACAGTCGCACGCGCGGCAGGCCGCAAAGCGTGTGGCTCAGTGCTGCCGTGCCGGCTTGACAGCGGCGGCTCGTAACAGACAAGAGCTCGCCCGGGTTGCATCCGTTTGTGTGCGGCAGATCGAGCAGGAATAACAGCCCGTAATCTTCCAAGTTGCCCCTGGCTTTTGTTGTTCTGGAGGTGCGACGGCACCCTGAAAGCCGGCGGTGGTGCTGCCACAATGCCGCGGGTGGCGCGGTGGCGTCCAATCGCATTTGATATCACCTGAGCCCGGGACGGACGTCTCCCCCGGCCAAGGTCCGGGCGCGAGACAGGGCGCAGGCGAGGGGGGCTGTGAGGGTCATTGGTGCGCAGTGCAGCCGCACTCACTCATCGCGCTTGCCGGTCTGCCTTTTGCTTGGCGTTGACAGGGCCAGCTTGGGGCCCTCTGCTGTGCTAGGAAACGTAAGGGCGCTCAAAGTTGAGCACGGGAAGCGTTGGGCGTTGGAGAAGCGCAGCAGCAGCTAGGCGCAAACATTGCTGGGCGGGGCACGTGGTGGCCGCGGAGGTGGTGAGGTGAGTCATGGACAGCACGCACGGTCAATTCCAAAAAGCGGAGGGGAGGGCGCAGCAAGTGCTGGAAAGGGTTGCTGTGCCGCCGCGGCGGCATGCCGGCGCCAGAGGTGGCTAAGCAACACACGGAGCTCGTGCCGCAATGGGCAGTGGTATATACCGGCGAAAAGTAGCAATAGCAGTATGTAGCTGAGAGTGAGACAGCATGAGGGATAGAGAGGGAATGTGCCAGCGGGGGAGACAGTGTGGGGGTGAACAGGGGACAGGTGGGGGCCTCCTGGCCGATCAATTTTGTTGGTGAGTGGCGCGTCCGACGCAATCAGAAAGCGCCACGCAGCCAGCCGACCGCCTTCACGCGCGCTCGATGGGGCCCCGGGCCGCGCCGGCCAGGATGCGCTCCAGGCGCGACGCGACCGCGGCCATGGTGGGCCGAAGGGGGGGGTCAGCCGAGAGGCACTCTGAGGCCAGCGCCGCGTAGGGGCAGGGCGGGGCTGCCGCGCCGCTGGCTGGATCGCGTGTGTTGAGGGCCGCCAGCATGAGCGCGCCTGCGGGACGGGGAGGGGACAACGGCACGACAAGGCGGCAAGACTCAGGCGAGTGGCAGTGCGCAAGCGGAGGGTGTGGCTACGCAAGATGCAGCAATGCGTGTGGGTGCGGTTGCGATCGGGCAGGCACGAGGGGCTGCCAAAAAAATCTCCCGCCCTTATGATCCCCTCACGGGGTTTGGCGGTGATAGGTGCAGACGCTGCATTCGTCCGCACTCACCAAATGCAAACACGTCATCAGCAGGGCCCTTGGCGTGCGCGCCTTCGCAGCCGGCGCAGTCGCAGGTGCAGGGTCCGGGGGCGGCCGCAAATGCGAGGGAGGAGGTGGCTGCGGTGAGCGTCACGGGCGGCCTTTGCAGCAGCGCCGCGCGGCCAAAGCCGCTCAGCTGCGGGGGTTGCCGTGGGTAAGCGGGGCGATGTTGGTCAGATCGCCACTTGGGTTGCGCAGTGGGGGAGCGCGCTTCCGGCAGTGGCAATTTTTCCTTTGCAGGGCAGCATCAGGCTCCCCTGTCAAGCCAGGAAAGGCGAGGCTGTCAGGGCATATGGTGGGCTGCTGCGGACCTTGGCCTGCAGGCCCAGCTGGCGTGTGGGGTCTGACTTGAGGAGGACGTTGCCAGCCTGACAGTGTGGAGGGCCAGGCAGTGCGAGGGTGGTGGTCAACAGGAGTTGACGGGAGACGGGCAGAGGACTGTGAACACGCAGCGACGACAGCCCAACCGCCGATTGAGAGCGCGTGTATCTGATGCTTTCTGGTGGTCCTCCTGAGGCTCTGCTTAGTCCTGGATGCCGCGCTGTCGCAGGCGTTCCGCCTGACCGCTGCGCAGCCTGCAACCCTGCATGCCGCCCACTGGGCCTGTGCCGGTTGCGCCCGCGCTCCCACGCTGCCGTGACCTGCCCCTGAGCAGCTGTATCGCGCTGTGAGCCCTCACCGTGACGTCACCATGCACCTGGAGCGGCGGGTCGAGGCAGGGGGAGGGCGGCAGTACGCGATCGTCAGGACTCGTGCCAGGGGGCAGAAAGGGGGCGCGCGCTCCACCTCCACCTTGTTTTGCACTTCAAACACAGACGCTCGCCCTGACGCACGCTGCTCGGCACACAGAGGCACCAGGTACGCGCAGCCGGCCCGTCCGACAGGCCCAGAAGCGACCGCCTCTGCATGACCGCCGCACGCACCAGCCGGATTGAGTGAAGGTACTGCAGCGCCGCCGCCACATCAAGCAGCAGGGCGCCCACCGCCCAGGGCCCCGCAGCGCAAGCGTCCCTATGGCCCGCAGGGGACAGGCCGCGCGCAAGGGCGTCCTCCAGGGTGCCGCGGTCGCAGAGCTGCGTGTGCACGTGCGTACGTGCGTGCGTGCAAGCGAATACGTCAGAGCGTGTGTGTGTATTTGTGTGCCTGTTGGTGCATGCGGGTTGTAAGTCAGCCAGGGTTGCGTTTCAAGGGGCGACTTGCCCTTGCCCAGTGCCGTTCACTTGTTATTCCGGGCCTGTCGTGCAGCAGCGATGCTGTGGCACCTTGGAGCATTGCGCAGTTTGATGAGCGTGTGAGCGCGATCCACCCACCTCTGTGATGACCACGTTGCAGAGGAGGGCGCTGGCATCGTCCTCCAGCGGAACCACGCTCGAAAAGCGCAGAGCGCGCCCGTCAGCCGCTGCGCCGGCATCTGCGGCGACGCAAGAGCGAAGCGGCGGTCGATTGAGCGCGAGCGTCCCAGCCTTGACCCAACCCGCTCAAAGCGATCCGGCGGCCGTTGTCAGGCGAGCGGGTGGCTCCGCGGCGAGCCCATTGGGACAGAAGCTCGAGAGCAGGCCAGTTATTTCCAGCTTTGTTTGCCCAGGCAATAGGGTTTGGCGGGAAGCAGCGCAGGGCGCAGCCGGCCCCACCTGGCAGCAGGACCATGTCTGGCAGGCAGGCGTAGGCCCGGACGATGTTGGGGTGGGGCGCCCCCGACAGCACTGCCATCTCAAGGGCCTGAGCCACGGCCTGCTCATGAGGGGGGGGGAGAGGGGGCGAGGTGGAGATGGGGGAGATGGGGGAGTCAGGTTGGGGAGCAACTGGGCTGCGGTCCGCTTGCTGCCTGTCTGACTGGCCCTTGCATAACACAACAAAAACCACATGCAGTCTGACAGTGCCGCATCGCAGCGGGCCACTTCTTCACCTTGGATGGGCAGCAGTCAATCTTCGAGATCTGAATGGAGTCACAGGAGACAGGGTTTGGCCAGGAGGGCGCGGCGGGGCGGGGGTTGCGGTTTAGTTGTCGCGTGAACTTGGAGGGGCCCCGTCTGCGTGCGGGCCCCACAGGTGCGTGAGAGTGCATGCCCCAGCCGCGCCGTGCTGGCGCGCGCGAATGCGCCTCGGGCCGCACCTTGATCGCGGCCGGCGCGTTCCTGAAGACGCCCTCGTAGACCTCGCTGCCACTGCCACCGCCGCAGCCGCAGCCGCAGCCCAAGCCACAGCCGCAGCCGCCGCCGCGGCCGCCGCAGCCGCCGCCGCGGCCGCCGCAGCCGCCGCGACCGCCCAGGCGGCGCGTGACCTCCAGCGCCAGCTCCAGGTGCTCATCCAGGCAGCACCGCGCGGACACCAGCGGCCCGCTCGCCGCGCTGGCGCGGTGGCTCAGGAGTGAGCTCAGCAGCGCGCCGCTGCACTCGAGGGGTGCAGCCGCGGCCGGGGGCGCCGAGTCAGCCGCCTGGTGGTTGGTTGGCGGGCAGCCCGAGGGTGTTGGGTCAGCGGGCACCGTCGGCTTGGGGGCGGGGCCGCCCGCAGTGGCTGACAGGGCGCCAAAGGCGAAACGTGCGGCGGGCGCGGCGGCTTAGTGGGCGGTGCGGCGCCTGCCTATGCGGGGCGGGGCGGCTCCCGGCGCACCTCGCACGCGTCCGCCCCGGCGTGCATCAGCCACGCGCGGCAGTTGGCGCTCCACAGCTCCCCCGCGCCGCCCGCGGGCGCGCCTGCGCCCGCAGCCGAGACCGGCTCCCAAGGGAGCAGGGCGCCGCTCGGGGCGGCCGCGGTGCTGGCAGCCGACGGGCTGGACGATACGGATCCCGCGGGGGACGCCGCGGCGGCGGCGGCCGCCGGCGCGTCGGATGCGGCGCTGGAGCCGACAGAGCTGGACCTGAGGCTGCCCAGGCTGTCCTGCCGCACCGCCGAGCCGATCGGCCCTGTCCTGGCCGCCAGGGCCTGGCCGGATTGCGTTGTGGGGAGGGGCGGGGCCGTAGTAAGGGCCAGCGGGGTGGTAGCCTTTTGGGCCTTCGGGTGTCGCGCGGCCTGGCCGCTCGCAGAGGGGGTGGCGCAGGCCGCCGCGAGGTTCTGGCCTGCTGCATATGCCGGTGGCGACGCCGGGGCCAGCGGTTGCGGCGGCGGCGGCCTGGCGCGGCGGCACGGGGCGCTGCGGGCAGCGTGACCAATGCTCCCATTACTATCTCCCACGCGACTGGCAGCACCCCTCACCGCCTCACAGGCCGGCCAGGTCGCGTGGTCGACCTCCAGCAGCTCCAGTGACTTGAGCTTGCGCCATACGCCGCTGCCTTGCTGGGGGTCGGCCTGCCCAGGACACCACGCGGCGGCGTCACTCGCGCCGGCGTCCCACTCGAGTTGGGGAGCGGCCGTAGTGTGCGCCGAGCAGGGCCGCACGGGTCGCTGTGGCGAGGAACACGATGCTCCCATATTTGGTTTTGAGGCTTCGCAGGCGGGCTGTGGAGCAGGACCTGTCACTTCTCTGTGGGCCTGGCCAGCCGCTCCACGAATTTCACGGTGCTACGTGCCGGAGCAGTATTGTATGGACGTGCATGGGGCAAATTCTAAGCCACTTTCATAATCTGTACGCACCCTGGCTGCGGATCCGGGCTAGTATTCCTGCCAAATTATCAGTCCTGCTTGGCGTCACCATGCGCATTTCTACAGCAGTGGGTGCGCCGAAAGAAAGGCACATGGGTTTTCTAGGCCTCTGGGGCTGAAACATGAGAGAATCAAGTAGGTACTGGCACATCCTGGCCCCTAATAGCTGTGTGGGAACCTTCATCCTGCCCTGCCAACCCGGTAAATCCCCAACGCCCCGCTGATGCCTTTACCGCATCAAACCAAACGGGCAGCGGCGCCTAGCGCGCGCCGAGCGCCCCCGCGGCAGGTAGCCGGTGGGCTACTCCCATCCCCGGCCAGATCGCAGGACCTGCGGAGCCAGGGCCAACACTGCGCTGGGTGGTGTCGGCTGCTGGGTGGTGTCGGCTGACACTAGGGCCTGCAAGGACCAGGGGGCGCCCGCCAATCCGTCAGGAGCACTCCGGATCGCGTTGCGTAGCGCCTTGCATGCAACTTGAGAGGGACATTGCCGATCGACTCAGGGCCCTTGCCCAAGGCTGCATGCAGTAGTGGTGTGCGGCATGGGGCAGATCACGAGACAACAGAAGCACCCGGCATGCCCCTCGACTTCAGACCAAGTGCTGGCCACTCCTGCACCAGCCGCTCGTCCCTGGCGCCGACCCTGACCCTGGCAAAGATGTTTGGCTGGGCCTTTGGCTGAGGTCTCAGCGATTACACAGCTCAAGAAAATTGGGGCCTTGGCCCTGGCAGGGGCGCTGAATCTCAGCTTGGAGGACGGACGGCCAAAGGACCAAGTCTAGGCCCTCGTTTGAGGTTGTGTCCTCCTGACAGACTTAAGTCAATACGTCCGCCCTTGAATATGAATGCTTTGAGTTGAGGCTGCTCGATAGCCCCTGGATCGCCCCGCCCGCTCAGCCGACTTGGCATGCACAGTCCTGAGGCGAGCGCTGGAGGCAACCTAGGCGGCGCGCGAGGCCGCATGTATGCGGAGCTATTCTTCGTGGTGACCGAAGCCGTGTCAGATCGCTCGACGGCGAAGCGCACGCGACCGGCCACGCTGGGTTGCTGGGGCCCCGCCACGTGCCGCGCCGGTCCACGAGGCGGCCCGAGACGCGGCGCCACCCGTCAAGGTGCCTTCCGCCCTGGTGCCGAGGCAGCCGGCGCGGCGCGGCCACGCGCGGGGTCAAAAGAACATGCGAGGCTGTCGAGGGGATTGCTGCCAGTCCTAAGCCTTCACAGGTATCCCTCCTCCCTGAGCCTGTCCAAGGCCATGTACCCTGTCGTGATGGAGGGCAGCAGCATGTCCCCCCCCAGCATCAGCGCGCGGAACTCCTCTAGGGGCATCCGCAGGACCTGGCAAGGAGGAGGGGGGGGCGGGGTGTGTGTTGAGA